AAGACAGCACCAATAAGGAGGTCACGGAATAATAAACAAACTAACAGAATAATAAACAAACTAACAGAAGAATAAAAGAGGAGAACACGTGGGAAGAGAGAGAAGATAAAATAAAAATAAATGATAATTCAACAGATTCCACGTCAGAAGAAATAAAATAAGTTCTTAAATTACCGTCTTCCTTTTATAGTCGATTTTCTGAATTCATTGAAGTGTTTGAGGTCATAAAGTAATCCTCTGCAGCATTTGAATACATTCCTGAGAAAATGTTGCTCATCACACAATGTGTACTCAGATTTGATGGCGTGAATGATGACAACAAGGAAAGCTACTTGCCGAGCTTGACAAACTGAAGATTGGTATATTTAGCAAACATGTAATTTTTAAAATAATGTATTCATTTACATTTTGATCTCTGTTTTCTGAAACTGACCGACTTACACTATTTACATGGTGGTTTAGTGAGTTGCAAAATTATCAGAAGTGCGACTTGAGAGAATCGACGGGTCCAAGGTGGAAGGGAATAAAAAATTGGCAAAGAACCATGTTCTGGGAGAGAGCTAAACGGGTTTTATTGTCTTTGGCTGAAGATGTATTGTTCTAACTATAATTACCATTTTTTCCAATAATTTGTTTTCAATTATCTGGTTATTATTTACTTGTTTATGTTCCAAGTTCCCCGATTCAATATGAATTGCTATTTCTGTTAATCTGTTTGGAATGTGAGATTGAATTCCTCTTTTTCTAGGATTCCTTCTACTGTTAATTGCAGACCATTGAGAAGATTAAGAAAGCCGTAGATGAAGGCAGTTACTTTGGGGCTCAACAGATGTACAAATCTTTTAGTGCAAGGTACATACAATAAATATCATCACTCTTAGTTTGTATATGGTTAATTCGGCCAAATTTGCTTTGGTTTCTATCATTTTGTTGGTAATTCTTTTTTCCTATTTTAAATTCATGACAGATATACTGCAGCCAGGAGGTATTTGGACGCCTTGAATATTCTGCAATCCGGTGCTTGCTTGCAATTAGGCAAATGGTATCTTATAACCTAATATTGATTTGTCAATGATGATTTTCCTATTAATTTTTCTATTTATGTGGATTTTTTCTTTCTTGTGATTTGATGCTTTCATAATTATAGTTAATGAATTATTTTGTTGTTGCTTCGATCAGTGGGGTGAAGCAAACGCGCCAATCTTTCAATCCAAGATCAATATCGTGCTTCATAAGGCTTACATAGGTATTGCTTCAGTTTCCACTTAGGTGCAAAAATTTATTTGTGCTGCAGATATTATAGAATTTCTGATATCACATATGAATCTTTTTAAATATGCTATCAATCGGGTGAGAAAATAATAAGTTCTCAAGCATTCAGCTGGAACAATAGTAGGAGCTCTTCTAGGTCCGGAATAAGATGGAAAAACGGATACAATTTCTCTCGATGGCACCAAAAACCAATGAAAGTGCAAGTTTTGTCATGTTCCAGGGAAAGCTCGAGGCTTCTTTTCCAGAACCAGTTTTTTTTTTTTTTTCTTTTACCATCCGTGTTGGTTTTTCCGTTTGGAACCTAGCTTAAATAGTTTAAATTATAATTTAAAAATTACCTCATATACCCTTATTCAACAAAACTAAATGAGTAGAAAGGTCAACCATACGTTTAAAACGATCAGATGTCGTTTTGGGTCACATGACTCGATTTCACTCAAAAATTAGTTTATCATAGTTTGAAACATCTTAGTAGACTTGTACATGTTGAATTAACTAAATTATTGAGTATCTTATGTGGACACGAGAGAACATAAAGTGAATGAATATACTTTTGTTAAAATGGGGTATCTATTTCACTATGAAATTAGTAAAACAGTGTTTGAGACATCATACATGACTCGTACACATTGAACGACTACACGTGCTATGTTTTGAGATATTTTTCTTTATTGTCAAGTGCAATATAGTTTACTACCATAGAGTGACTCACTATAGTTTGAATAAATGTGCAGATCGCAACATCGAATTAAAGTTAAATCTCATATTCCTAAGCTATCATGTGGTTATGAG